ACAGGTGAGGCGGCCCGCGAGCTGCAGGTGAGCGCACAGGTGAGGCGGCCCGCGAGCTGTAGCACACCTGAGCGCAAGAGTTAGACACAAAGCGAGGGCTGCCCTGGGCGCTACCCAATTGACAATTAAATCCTCCACACAGTCACCATCCCCAGTCACGTAGTGACAGGTGTAAGCGGCTCGAATCAAACAGCGTTATTTTGTCTTCTTTTGGAACAAAAGTGAAAGTAACGCCTTCAATGGATTTTCATCACGACCCCCAACATTTTGCTTCCAAAAGGTCTGTGAATCCGAAGCATATACAATTTTCCACTGCTTGAAAAGTCAACGGAGTTTTTTTCTTTCTCCCCCACAAAAAAATCCGCCCTTTTTGAGTTTGCTCCTTGTTTGTTAATGCGACTGTGCTTTTCCTCTCCCCAACAGTGCTACAGGTGAGCTCTCAAGAGACAGCCCCGCTCATCCTGGTTTCGGACCCCACGCACGGCCGGAAGGAAAGAGACCTTATTTCCTCCAGGTACAGTGAAGGCGGGAGAGTAGGAACAAGATACGGATCGGGAAATTGAAACAAAAATGAATAAAGTTTCTCCAGCCCCGGCGTCCAGATCAACGCAGCTCCGCGTCCCCCTTGTTGTTTTTGACACGCACACAGTCAAGCAGCAGAGTTGCTCCACCAACGCCGAAACCACCTTCCTTGTTTCTTAGTTCCCTGCCGGTGACTCCTTTCGTTTATTTCCCCCCCCCAATCCTCCGTCCTCGCACAACAGTCTCCAAACCCCAAAAGGGCGCCGGTGCTCCGAGGACCTCCCTCGCTCACCTGGGAAGAACTCGACACGAAGTTTTTCTTCCGCCAAGACACTTTGGCCAAACTTTCCCCTTTCTCGTAGCAGCAGCGGCGTAGAAACCAGGCCTCGATCTCTCTCCCTGCGCTCCGAGGTTAACTCTTTCCTCACCAGTGCTCTGCCTAACTAAATAACCAAACCACAATCACTGCTGAAACACTCGCCTCGCATTCTGCTCAATCAAAAGGATTGACACTAAAGTTACAAAAAAGTGCTGAAAATGCAAAATATGCCTGAGACTAAGAAGTGTGCACTTTAAAAAAAAATTGGTGTACATGTTGAGCATCGTTAAAGGGGCATCAGGATTAATCAATATTTGTCACAAAAGAACCATAAGGTAGATGTTTTTGTTTTGTTTTAGTTATGATCGAGGATATGTGCAGCCGTAAAGGAAGCAGTTTCTCTAATATCTTAAGAAGGCAGGAAGAGCAGTTCAGTGAAAATAACTGAATCTCTCTTTCAAAGAGGTAGCACAGACGGAATGGGTTGAAGGGCCTTTCTCTGGGTTCTACGATTTTCTTGCCCTTAAAATAACCAGCATCAGGAAACAATTGTAGAGCAGAAATCAGATCAAAAATTTAAACGATGGCATAAGGGCACAACTTCAAAATTAAGTTTCTGTCTCTTGAATCACTCCAAGGAATATTTCATTTTCTTTCACCCCTTTGTAATAATGAAGCAGCTTTGTTCCCCACCAATCTTAAACAGATTGAATTTTTGTAATCTTATAAGCATGTTATTAACCAACACAGGAATGGATATGTCGTTGGGTGAGGGATGGAGAGACGCATTAAAAATGCTCAGACTATGGGGGTTGAGTTGGGAATAAAATATGTGAATTGAATTTGTTAATTGTTTATTTGAGAAGATTGCATTAAATCCTACAAATCCCTTATCCTGTGGAAAACACCTATTGTGTGTCTGAAAAAAAAAGCAAAGATGCTGAAAATCAGAAACAAAATCAAACTGCTGGAAAATCTTAACAGGTCTGGCAACATCTGTGGAGACAAAGCTGAGGAGTTAAGGCCTCCTTCAGAACTGATTGTAGCTAGGAAATGGTTGGTGTATACACTAAAGATGGATTTGGGGGAGAGGTGTAAACCATAGGTGGAGATGGAGTCCAGACAGAGATGAAAACAGTCGGGCAGACAAAGGAACTGTGGATGCTGGAAATCAAACAGACACAGACCTGAGTTTTTCCAGCGATTTCTGCTTTTGCTGTGGTTGTTTATGTTAGCAGCCCATGTGATGACATGGCCTAGTGCACGGGGGTTGGGGTAAGGACATGGGAGAAGAATAAAATTGTTGAACTCGACACTGAGTCCAGAAGGCTGCAGTGTTCCTAAGCAGAAAAGAGATGCTGTTCTTCCAGCTTGCATTGAGCTTCACTGCAGCAAGCCTGAGATAGAGATGTTGGCCAGGGAACACTGTGGTGTGTTCAAATGGCAGGCAACTGGAAGCTCAGGGCCGTTTTTGTGGACATTATGTAGGTGTTCTGCAAAGCAGTTGCCCAGTTTGAACTTTGACTCCAGAGTGGAGAGGAGACCATATTGTGAGCAATGAAAACAGCAGATTAGACTGGGTGAGTCATCTGAAAGGCGTGTCTGGGGCCTTGGAGAGTGACGAGGGAGGAAGTAAATTGGCTGGTGTTATAATTTATGCGATTGCACGGGAAGGTGCCAGGGAAGAGTTCAGAGTGGAGGAGGAATGGACCAAGGTGTCCCGGAGAGAACAGTCCCTGTGGAAGAGTGACAAGGGAGGGGAGGAGAATATGTGTCTGATGGCATTCCAGTGGAGGTCGTGAAAATGGCGGCTAATAATCCTTTGGATGTAGACGACGGTAGGATGGTATGTGAGAATTGGGGATTCTATTGTGGTTGTGGGAGGGAAGTGAGGGCATGAGGGCCAAAGTGCAGGAGATAGATCGGATATGGCTAAGGGCCCCGTCAACCGCAGTGGTGGGGAATCCACAGTTGAGGAAGAAGGTGGACATTTTGGAGGCCCCCTTGTTGAATTTGGCATCATCAGAACAGATGCAACGGAGACAGAGGAACTGTGAGAATGGAATAGAGTGTTTCCAGGAAGCAGGGTGTGAAAATGTATGGTTGAGGTAACTGTGGAAGTTGGTGGGTTTGTAGTGGCCAGTCTATCATCAGAAATGAAAACCAATGTCAAGGAAGGCAGGGTAGGAGTCAGAAATTGGAAGCAAAATATATAAACTTTTCCAATTCCAGACGAGGGAGGGAAGCATGTCATCAATGTACTAAAGAAAGAATTGTTGATGGGGGCCAGAGGAGGACTGCAACAAGGAATGTACCATATACCCGATAGAGAGACAGTCGTAACTAGGGCCCATGTGGGTAACCATGACCACCCCTTTGACCTGAAGAAAGTGGGAAGATTCAAAGGAGAAGTTGTTCAAAATAAGGAGAAGTTGTTCAAAATAAGGAGAAGCTCAGTCTGGTGGAGGGGGTGGGGAGGTGGTTCAGGCCTTTTCTCCAGGAAAAAGTGGAGAGCCCTTGAGACCATCCTGATGTGGGGGCGGTGGGGGGTGAGGTGCGGGGTGGATGTATCAAAGGATTGCATGTCTCTGGTAAAGAGGAGGTGGCTGGAGGCTGTGAACTGGAATTTCTGAAGCTGACATAAAGCATCAGAGGAATTGCGGACGTAAATGGGAAGGGACTGGATAAGGGGAGAAAAAAATCAAGTCGAGGTGGGAGGAGATGAGCTCTGTTGGCAGGAAGTTATGGGTCTGCCCGGACAGACCTGTTTGTGGACTTTGGGAAGGAGGTATAAGTGAATTGTGTGAGATTGGGAGACTTTGTGCTTGGAGGCAGTTGTGGGGGTTGGGGTGGAGATCACCGGATGAAAAGAGATTAGTGACCATTATGGACACAATAGCCTGATAGTCCATGGTGGAGTCATGGTGCGGGGGAGATAGGAGGAGGTATATGAGAGCTGACATTCAGCCTCCACAATGTAGAGGTCAAAATGCCAGGCAACAACAGCACCTCCCTTGTCGGCAGGCTTGATTACAAAGTCAGGATTGGAGTCTGACTTTTTTTTTCCATTCACCTGCAGTGTTTCTACCCTTCTACCCCACTTCGCATTTGTAGAGTACTTGTTTTGATCTTGGGATGTCCCAAGGTACTTTTTGAGGTGCAGTCATTGTTGTAGCTTAAAAGGTAAGGAAGCCAGTATGTAAACTGCAAGGTCCCTCAAGTAGCAATGAGATCATGAACAACATAATCTGCTTCACTGATGCTGACCAGGAGACTGGATAGAACTTTCCTGCTATTCCTGGCATAGTGGTACTGACCTGCTTTAGAGTACAGTTCCAGGACCAGGTGAAGTGGTGAGTGTGAGTAGGCTATTCAATAATATGGGCATCACAACTCTGATCACAAGTGTGCACTTTTTGAGCGACCATCACTTAACAGGAAAACTAAGCCAGAGGCAACTTAGCATTTGCTATACTGCCACTATTGACCCTTTCTTAAATTGAATAATTAATCAGAAAGTGGGAATTCAAAAAACATATTCTGAAATCATTGGCACAGTGGGTTACCCTATAGCACCTCTTGAGTCAGAAGGCTGTTGGAACGTCCTGTTGCGGAGACTTGAGTGCAGTATCCAAGCTCCAGTTATGAGGGACTGCTGCACACTCGGGTCTCGTCTTCCAATTGAGATGTTAAACCATGACCTTATCTGTCATCTCAAAAGGACTGTAAAGATTTCATAGCAGTTTCAAAGACTAACAACACAGTTTCCTGGCCTATATTTACACCAAAGCAAACACTACAAAAAAGATTATTTTGGATCATTATCACTTTGCAGTCCGTGGAACCGAGCTGCGCACAAATTGACAATTGTGTTTTCCACATTACATAAGGGACTGTGCTATAAGTGCATTTATGAATACTTAAATTTGGAGCAGGAGTAGGCTATTTGGATCTAGAGTCTGTCCAGCCTTTTTATAAGATCATGGCTGATTTCATTGTGGTCTTAACGCCTCTTTCCATTTTATGCCCTATGGCTTTTGATTCTCCTGTCAATCAAGAATCTACTAATTCAGCCTTGAAAATATTCAAAAACCTTGCCTCTACCGCTCTCTAGGGAAGAGTATTCCATAGATTAAAACAGAG